TTTAGCCTTTCAAATTGATTCAGCAGCAGGGCAATGGCATAAGAAGGAACAGGAAAATTTATCATGAGGCCTCATTTGAATTTAATTACTAACCAACCACCTCTCTAAAGTGAACCATCTTTCTTCTTTTGCTTTATTCTACCACCACTGAGGCCAAATTTTCTCTGACTTTGACATCATGGATCCTAGGAAGGTTTACAGTGAGATGCAGAACTTAGCCAAGGTTGGTCAGAGCTTCCCAAATCCTGAAGACCGTCGCTTCCTTTGGGAATCAGTAGAAAGTATGGAAAGTTCCCTAACATCTACTCTGAGCACTATCGCTGCAGAGGAGGTGTTCAAGGAGGCAGATAAACTGCCAGAAGAATGTGAGGATGAGGAGCATGGTCTGACATCTGCCAAGAAGGGCATGATTGAACCTGACCAGGATGATACCCAAAAGATGGAAGGCCACAACTTGCAAGTAACAGATGAAAGGATGAAGCAGATCAGTGAAAAAACAGCAGAGGCCTTTGATGTCTTGGCAAAAGGAGAACTCCAGAAAGGAGCTGACTTATTCTCAGATGTCATCAGGTTGAATCCACATCTTGCCCAGTCATATATTAGCAGAGCCAATGTCTTTCTACAGCTACAAAAGCCCATGGCTGCCATTAGGGACTGTGAGAGAGCAATTGAGCTCAACCCTAATTCAACACAGCCCTATCAGTTGCGAGAAAAAGCACTCCAACTCTTGGGACACTTGGAGGAGGCAGCCTGTGACCTGGCCTTGGCCCATACATTGGGCTTTGATGATGCTAATGCTGTGCAAAAATCTAGCCATGTGAAAAGAGTGAAGAAGGCTCAAGGAAAAGAAGCAGGTGTTAAAAAGGTGGCTCTGGGGGATCAGGAGAAAGCTCAGAGAGAGGAAGAATCCACTGAGGAGCCCGAGAGTGAGGAGAGCGAGTTGGAGACTGATAGTGAAGGGGTGATTGAACCTGATGAGGATGACCCCCAAGAGATGGGAGATGAGAATTTAGAAGTAACAGATGAAATGAGGAAGCAGGCAAATGACAAGAAGAGGGAGGCCTTGGATGCAGTGGGTAAAGGTGATCTGCAGAAAGCTATCAATTTGTTCACTGATGCCATCAAACTGAACCCACAGCTTACCATCTTGTACACCAACCGAGCCAGCATCTATGTGCAATTGCAGAAGCCAAATGCTGCCATTAGAGACTGTGACAAAGCCATAAAAATCAACCCTGATTCTGCACAATCCTACAAATGGCGAGGGAAAGCACTCAGGCTCTTGGGTCACTGGCAGGAGGCAGCCAAAGACTTCGCCTTAGCTTGCCAGCTGGATTATGATGAAGATGCCAATGCTATGCTGAAGGAGGTTCATCAGAGGGCCCAGAAAATTGACAAACACTGGTGGAAGTATGAGCAAAAACACAAGTTAAAAATATTTAAGGACACATTGAGCAGGCTGACAAAAGCCCTGGAGGAGCAGAACCGAGCTCAGCTTCAGGCCTCTGAGGAGCTGGAGAGAGTTCAGTTTGGGGATCCTCAGGAAGAGGAAAGAGCACTGTCTCAGGCTTCCTCAGAACATGAACAAAAAATTCAGTCTCAGGCTTCTCAGACATGTGTAAATGACTATTATATATTTTCTGGAGAGCAAGAGGGGGAACAGGAAAATCTTCAGCTGGAGACCCAGGGAACAGCTGACAGAGAGGAAGAGTCTAGTGAGGAGAGTGAGTTGGAGATTGATAGTGAAGGTGTGATTAAACCAGATGAAGATGATCCTCAAGAGATGGGAAATGAGGATTTGGAAGTAACAGATGAAATGAGGAAGCAAGCAAATCAAAAAAAGAAAGAGGCCTTTGATGCCGTGGGTAAAGGTGATCTGCAAAAAGCTATTGACTTGTTCACTGATGCCATCAAACTGAACCCACGGCTTACCATCTTGTATGCCAACCGAGCCAGCATCTATGTGCAGTTGCAGAAGCCAAATGCTGCCATTAGAGACTGTAATAAAGCCTTAAAAATCAACCCTGATTCTGCACAGCCCTACAAATGGCGAGGGAAAGCACTCAGGCTCCTAGGTCACTGGCAGGAGGCAGCCAGGGACCTTGCCTTGGCTTGTCAGCTGGATTATGACGAAGATGCCAATGCTACACTGAAGGAAGTTCAGCGGAGGGCTCAGAAAATCACCAGACACCAAAGAAAGCACAAGCAAAATCACAAGGATGATGAATTTAAGGAGATGGTAGAAAGGATGAAGGAAGCCCTGGGTAGGCAGAAGATTAAAAAAGAATTACAAAGAGATGAGAAGATATCCCTAGAGCAACAAGAAGAGGGTTGGGAAAAGGTTATCATAGAACAGGAGAGAACAACTCAGAGGGTGCTGGAAGTACAGGGAAACATTGAACAGGAGGTGACAGAGGAGCAAGAGAGAGCTGACTTAGCAGAGATGCAAGAAAAAGGGGCAGTTCAGCAGATGGAGTTGGAGCAACAGTTGATTGCTTTGCAGATGGAGCTAGAGGAACGGCTGAAAGTTCAGCAGATAGAGCTGGGAGAAGAGGAGAGAGCCCTACAGAAGATGCTGGAAGGACACAAAAGAGCTCAGAAGAAGGTGCTGGAAGAGCAAGAGAGAATCCACCTGGAAGCTCTGGAGCAGCTAGAAAAGGCTCAACAGCAGGCCCTGGAAGAGCTGCTGAGTGTTCAGAAGAAGGTCCTGGAGGAGCAGGAAAGAGCTCAGAAGAAATCTCTGGAAGAAAAGGAGAGGGCTGAGAAAGCCCTGCAGGAGCTAAGAAGAGCTCACAAAAAGGCCCTGGAGGAACTGGAGGTCGCTCAGAGAAAGGCCCTGAGTGAGCATGTAAGGGCTCAGCAGCAGGCTTTAGTGGAACAAAAGAAAACTCAGATGGCTATGGAAGAACTGGAGAGAGCTCACAAGAAATCCCTTGCAGAACAAGAGAAAGCCCAGAAAGCTGCACTAGAGGAGCAGAAGAGAGTCCAGAAGGCCCTAGAGGAACTAGAGAGATCGCAGAGAAAGGCTCTGGCAGAGCAGGCAGGAGCACAAAAGGCAGCCATAAGGGAACAGGAAAGAGCCCAGAAAGCCTTGATAGAATTGGCAAGAGCTCAGCAGCAAGCATTGGAAGAACAGGAGAGAGCTAAGAAGAAGGCCCTAGAGGAACAGGAAAGGGCTCAAAAGGCCCTGGACACACTTGAGAAAGCTCAGAAAAAAGCCCTGGAGGAACTGGAGAGAGCTCAGAGAGGTGCCCTGGGTGAACAACAGAAAGCTCAGAAGAAAGCCATGGAGGAACAGGAGAGAGCTCTGAAGGCCCTGGAGGAGATGGAGAAATCTCAGAGGGAGGCTATGGACAAAGAAAAAAGGGGTCAGAAGAAAGTGCTGGAGGAACAGAGGAGAGCTGAGGAATTGGAGAGCGCTCAGGAAAAGCTTCCAAAGGAACAGGAGCCAACTCAGAAAAGAGCCCAAGAAGAACATGAGAGGACTCATACAAAGTTCTCTAAAGGACTAAACCAAACATACAGGAAAGACCTCGAGAAAGTAGAGAATGCTCATAAAAAGTGTTCTGTGGACCAGGAAGAACCTCAGAGGAAGGATTCAGAAGAACAGGAATCAGCTCAAGAAACTGTCCAAGAGGACCAACTGAGAGCTGAGAGGGGGAAAGAGCAGGGAAAACATTCCTTGAGACCACTCGCAAACTCCCTCTGGGATTATTTTGAATCAGGGTAGGTCTTAGGAGCCTGAGTATTGTCTGAATTTGCCTTGGGATTCAACCACCACTGACAAACACAAGAACTAGCATGTGCTCACAGTATCATGTAAGAACTGAAGTGAATTTGGAGGTCATCTGCAACTGCTGCATTCATTAAAGTAACATCTAAAAAGCAAATATGAGCAGAAGTTTTCTGCTATTACTTTTAATTTCTCCATTTAAATAGCATTCTTTAAAACAGCACATCTCCCATACAGTGTTTGGATCCATGCACAAGTATATATGGGCTATTCCAAGTGCTCTTCTCCAGAAGGAGGAGTGCTTCAAGAAATGGGGGTAGGTAGAGAACCTGGTGACGCCTAAATTCATTAACTTAAGCAATATATCAAGAGGTCCTTCTGCATCCCTGCCTCTCTTTGTCTAGTTAACATCCTTGATACTTTCTCAATGACTGGTGGTCCATAACAGAACAAAGAGTGATTGGGAATATTTCTCTCCTGAAAATTTTTCCTGTAAATAGTGATGAGGGAAGGAGATCCCAAGCCTAGCACCAGCAAGAAATCTGTGGGAGAGTTTTGAGTGGCAAGAAAAAGTGGCCATGACACACTGGGAGAAGAAATGAGATAAGTGGGAATCATTACAACAGAGGGAGGATAAAGACTTAACAGGAAGTTGTGAAAGGAAGAGTGAATTCATGGGCAGGAGCATGGGTAATGGAAATGATGCTTCTGATATATATTGAGCATCCCTGAATGGATTCACATTCTAAACTACTTGAGGCCTTCAGAGGAATTCAGATTCTTCAAGCCATTCTGTGGAGGGAGAGTGCCTTTGATCTCTTTACTGGCCCAGGTGCCTGTCCGCACAGAGTAGTTTGCATCATCAGGGACTTGCCAGCCATTCTGATTTAAAAGAAATGGGTTTGTGAAATCCAGTTTTGCTAACTCCAGATGTTCAGAAATCATACATTATGTCAAAGATTATGAGGTTGGCTTAAAAATAATGATATAGAAAAATAATTTTGTATTCTTATGTATATTTTCTGGGTTGGGAGCCATAAGGGCATGCTGTGTCATGCTTTCAAGCTTTTCTTTGCAACTCTTCCCCAAAGGGAGTCTTGGATAACCACCTGGGTCCAGACCTTATGGTCTTAAACACTAAATATTAAAAGATGTCACCAATTATCATTTTTATGGGCTGAGTTATACATGTCCTAGCGCAAGGCAAAAGTTAAGAATCTGCAAGCTGAATAAAGGCAGCCACAGCAAAATGCTATAGATGCCAGTCAGTTGCAGTGGGAGAGAACTTCAGGTCATTCTCATTAAAGCTAAAGGAACTGAAGAGGAGGTGCTAACTGGCATTTGTGGGAAAAGCAAAACGGGAGGTTCTTATTATATATGATCACATTTCTGTCTGAAAAAACTGGGCAGGAACTGCTAAGAAATAAACAATGTTATTGGATAAAAAGAAGATATTGGGAAATTTACTCTGGGACCTGGCTGGAGGAATTCATACAACTGGTAGGGCAGTAGTGCTGGACTTCTGGAAGGCCAACTTCAATGAGCTCAGGAGACCGGTTAGGGTGGGATTGAGGGGTAATCACATCTCTGAGATGAGAGTCCAAGAAGGGTGGGAGTTCCTCAAGGGACTGATCTTACAGGCACAGAGGGACACCATCCCAGTACATGCAAAATGAGACAAAAGAGCCAAAAAACATTCTTGGCTGAGCAGGGAAATCCAGGAGAGCCTTCAGAGGGAAAAAGAGGCCTACATGATATGGAAGCAGGGGTCAGCCACCAAGGAGGTGTATACGTGCTTGGCTCACGCTTGCAGGGAAGCAGCGAGGAAGGCCAAAGCAGATACAGAACTCAAGTTGGCAACAAAGATTAAGGACAACAAACAGTCCTTCTTTAAGTAGATGGGGAGCAGGAAGAAGGCACAGGGTAACATAGGGC